GAAACTCCGTCTCAAAAAAAAAAAAAAAAAAAAAAAATTTTTTTTTACTTGTAATATATATACATACATGTTAAATATAATTATTTTTTTCTAACAATATATGTACATAATTATTTTTTCTTTTGAGACAGAGTCTTGCTCAGTCACCCAGGCTGGAGTGCGGTGGCACAATCTCGGCTCACTGCAGCCTCAACCACCGAGGCTCCAGCAATCCTCTCACCTCAACCTCCCAAGTGGTTGGGACCACAGGCATGTGCCACCGCACTGGGTTAATTTTTTATTTTCAGTAGAAATGAGGTCTTGTTATGTTGCCCAGGCTGGTCTCCAACTCCTCAGCTCAAGCAATCCTCCCACCTCAGCCTCCCAAAGTGCTGGGGTTACAGGGATGAGCCACCTCGTCAACCTTGACTTGGAATATATGTTAATGGAGCAAAATTTCATTAATGAAGACCTAACAAGGTTAGAATTTGGGATACATCAATATTGTCCTGAACTAAACATTACCATTTCTCAAGCTATAAAAAGAAAGTTTTTATTGAGGAAAATTAAGAGTTTAAGCAAGATTGCAAGCGCAATGCTAAAGAGACCACTTTAAAGTTATGCATGCATACAAATTGTTGACCTGTTGTTAGTCTTTCCTACCTATGCTTTAAAATACCCATTCTTTCTAAATAGCAAAGCGGCCATGGTTTATTACCTGAGATTGGATTTCTGTACTAAAAACGAAAAGGAAAAGCTGCATGCCTTTTAAAATACATTGAATGAACCGGATCGGTATTTCCTGTCAGTAACTCGGTAGTAAGGTTTTACTTACTTCTCCTGATCTGCTAACACCATCACATTCTTGCAGTTTCACATGTGGTCAAGTCTGATACGTGACTTGTGATCCCCAACATGCTGACCACACACAGTGTGTTCGGAATCGGGATTCCGAGTTTAGGGCTGTGTAGTGTCTACACGTGGACTGAGTCAATTCCTACAGGGTGCTGCCTCTTAGCGAGGCTTCCTGTTACAGTCCTCCCGCACTCCTGGCCCTCCTTGGCTTTGTTCTGTTGTTTTCGGTTTTGCTGTACTGTACTGTGTTGAAGTAGCCTTTCTTTTTATTTAGCTGCCAACAACTAACTATACATGTATTTGTTGGGGCTCAGAAAACGACACCCCTTGGCATGCTGGGTGCTTCGAACCAAAGGAGACTGCAAGGCTTCAGAAGCAGCCTTGGAAGCAAAGTCTACGTTTGGGGTTCTCCTGCCCTCCTGTCTCCTGCTAACCCCCAGAGTGAGTCACAGAAATTAGAATTCCTCTTCTTCACAGTGGGTTAGAGAGACTAGAGGGTCACTGTGGGGGAGGCCAAGGCAGGAGGACTGCTTGAGCCCTGGAGTTTGCAACCAGCCTAGGCAACACGGTAAGACCCGGCCTCTACAAAAAAATAAGTAAAAAAAAAAATTAGCCACGTGTGGTGGTGTGTACCTGTATCCCCAGCTGCTCTAGAGACTGAGGTGGGAGGATTGTTTGAGCCTGGAACATGGAGGCTGTGGTGAGCCATGACTGCACCACTGCACTCCAGCTTGGGCAACAGATAGAGACCCTATCAAAAAAAAAAAAAAAAAAAAAAAAAAAGACTTGGGACAGGCCTTGCTCAGTTTCCCACCTCAGTCTGTTACCTTAGATCAAACCCCCTTTGTCCAATCCCATTTCTACAGGGCTATCTACCCTTCATTTAACCTAAGCATAAAAATAGAGGGCTTTCCCTGGGTCTTGGGTCTTCATTTTTGAAGGCTTCTGTGTCACACGAATCTTTGATTAAATAAATTTGTTCACTTTCCTCTTGTTAACCTCTTTTGTAGGAGTGTCAGCTGTGACTCTTCTGATGGGCGAAGAAAGGTACCACACCTATTCCGCCCCTGCATCCTACAGCAATGACTTGAGATTTCTATTTTTCCCTGACTCTTCTTCAGATATGCATCAATCGTAAAAGAAAAGGTTAAGATTTAAACCCCCAGATGGATGTGGACAAGTGGGAGTTCTCCTCCTCCTTTCCCTCCTTCCTGCCACAAATACTTACTGAGTTCCTCTATTTTGTGCAAGACACTGTTAAAGGCATAAAGATGAAGTAGAGGAAAATCCTGCCCTTCCAGAAGCACCTGGGATAGAATGGGAGGCAGATGGGCATAGAAATCATTTTGAACACACACCAGTGTGCTAAAAAGTGGTGTATGCATGTTCTGGGAAGGCTGTGAAGCTGCTGCCGTGCTTGGCCCGTTGGCCACCATGCTTCTTATCACTAGGTCATGTTCCAGAGGTCACTTCAGCATTCTGGGAGGTTAACAGGCTGAGAAGGGCCAGTGTGGTGTCAGAAATGATCAGTACCTGACAGAGATGGAGAAGTCCCCCGGGGAGCTCTGGCTGGCCCGGATGATGAAGAAACCAACCTCCTTGCCCATGAGTAAGTTCTCTGCCTGGTGTCGAGAGAGGCCTTCGTGAAACCATCTGTGGGACGAGATCGAACCAGAGGATCAGGATGACACACAGGAGTGACAGGAGGGAGATGTGGAGAAGGGATGACACAGAGAGAAAGAGGCTGGGTACTCTACAGTAGGGAGCAGAGAGAGACCAAAGAGGGACCAGGTGCTTTTTGAAATCAAACCAGTGCTCCAGGCAGCTTTCAGGAAAGGCGAGGGAGCATTCCCCTTGACTCATCCTCTTTGTTCCTTCTCTCCAGGAGAAGTCTCCGGCCTGGGAAACGAATCATGGAGATGTGTCGCTGCACCAAAATGGGGCAGTGTGGGAGTGACTCACTGCAGGAAGCAGCCGCCTGCTGGCAGCTGCGGAATAGACCAGAGCTGCAGGGACGGAGGATGTACCCAGGAGGGAAGGGATCACTTCAGGCACTGGGGCCAACCAGGTGCAGCCGGCTGAGCAGTGTCTTATGCCCACACTGGAACCTCAGTGGTCTAGAGGCTCCTCCCTGGGCATTAAGGGAGAGTTATAGGCTAGGATGTACGTCGCCTGGGCTGGCATGGAGCACAAGGGGGCTGTGCTCAGCGTGCCTAGCAGAGGCTGCAGTGTTCCTAGGGAGCCCAGTGTACACGCTTAGAAAGGAGTGAGGCCGGCAGCAGCCAGAGAGTGGCGTCTATACAACCAGATCCTGGGCCCGCCCCAAAAAATCCAGGCTGGGAAATAATCTTTACTATAGAAAAGAAGAAACAGGAGAAGCTGCTCTTTCAGTGGAACGGTCAGGGTGGCAGCTCCTGGAAGCACGGCTGCACACAGTGTGGCATGTATGAAATAGGTCAAACACTTACACAGAGCCAGCAAGCTGTGGCTGCAGCCTCAAGGCAGGAGGCCAGAGACCTCTCTTGACCACAGACAAGCAAAATGAGTGTCTGTAATCATTCGGTGGCCAAAGGTGGGACTGTGTCACATTGCTTCAAGGTGGCTGCTCTAATTGCTGCCACCAGAAGGCTCAGATGCATGTTCCTGTAGCTTTGGTCAGGTCTTGGCTTTGGATTCCTTTGTGAGCAATTCTCTGTGCTTTCCAGAGTTTGGGAATCTGAGACAAGGGTAGCAGGAAGGATGTATTTATTGGAGACCGGGGACTGAGGGGGAAGGTTGGCTGTGCTCCAAGGAGGCTGAAAGCAGCAGTTTCTGGTGGCCTGGAGATTCTGCCTGAGTATTTGCCGCACAGTCCTACAGGGTTAAATAAGAGAGCACCACATACACCACTGCCACGTGAAGGAAATGCAGTGGGGATGGGAGAAGGAATGGGGTGTGCGCCACCGCAGCCATATCGCAAAGGAAATGTTTTAGAAGTGAAGGGGATTTAAGAAATACACATTTGTCCTCTGACTGAAATCTGATAGGGGGCTTCTTTCAAGATTTGTAAAAATGACCACATACTGCATATTAGAACATGAGTGGCCATGGTTTCAATATCATTCATTCATTCATAGCTTTGCTGAACATTTAGTACTGTGCTGGGCCCTCTCCCGGGCACTGGGGACATGGTAGTGGGCAGAACAGATACACACCCCTGCCTTCAGGGAGCTTACTTTCTAGTCAAGGGGGACACACAATAAAGAACAAAATAAAATCTGTAGTGTGTCAGATGATGGTAAGTGCTGTGGAGAACATGGAAACAGAGAGGGTGGATGGGGTGCTGGGGGTGAGAGATTAATGTAAGGCATGGTGATGAGAAAGACCTTGCTGAAAAGGAGACATTCTAAACCTATAGGGGACTGGGGAGTGGGAGGAACCAGCACAAGATACTGAGGAGGAGTGGCCAGGGAGGTGGGAGGACAACCAGAGGAAGGACGTCCTGGAGCCAAAATGAAGAAGGTATTCCAGTGGGGGGGCAATCCCCAGGGCAGATCGTGCTGAGATGGCCCCTGGGAGCTGCAGCACATGGGGAGCCTGGTGGGAAGGGCCAGGAGGTGAGGAGTGGAAATAGCAAATGCAAACGCTCCTTCTGAAGAACCGGTGTGGCAGCTGGAAGGGGATTTGGGATTAAGAGTTTCCTTGTTTTATTTATTTAAATATTTTGTCTTTGAAACAGAGTCTCGTTCTGCTGCCCAGGCTGGAGTGCAGTGATATAATCATGGCTCACCACAGCCTTGAACTCCCAGGCTCAAGCGATTCTCCTGCCTCAGCCTCCCAAGCAGCTGGGACTACAGGCGCATGCCACCACACCCAGCTAATTAAAAAAAAAATTTTTTGGCCGGGCGCGGTGGCTCAAGCCTGTAATCCCAGCACTTTGGGAGGCCGAGGCGGGTGGATCACGAGGTCAAGAGATCGAGACCATCCTGGTCAACGTGGTGAAACCCCGTCTCTACTAAAAATACAAAAAAAATTAGCTGGGCATGGTGGCTCGTGCCTGTAATCCCAGCTACTCAGGAGGCTGAGGCAGGAGAATTGCCTG